GGCTGGGGGCGGCGGTGTGGCCCAGCGCGCGCTGGCTCCCCCTCATCCCCGTCCCCTCTCCCCCATCCCCTTTTCCCCGTCCCCCTGGGCCCGGACCTGCTGCGGCGGGCGGCGGGCGCGGCCGTTGTTGCCCCGTTGTGCCCCCGTTGACCCCGCGCGGTTCCGTTCCAGGCGCGGGGCACCCCATGAAGCCGCACCGCCTGGCGCTCACGCACAGCCTGGTGCTGCACTACGGCCTCTACAAGAAAATGATCGTAAGCACCGGGGGACACGGGGGACACGGGGGACACGGGGGGACACGCGGGACACGGGGGGACACGGGGGACACGGGGGACACGCTCCAGCCTGGGCCCCGGGGCTGCTCTGGGGACCCGGGGGTGGGGACAGTGTTCAGTGGTGGCTGTAGGATTTTGGGGTCCCACATAGTGGGGGACAGTGTTCAGTGGTGGCTGTAGGATTTTGGGGTCCCAGAGGTGGGGGACAGTGTTCAGTGGTGGCTGTAGGATTTTGGGGTCCCCAGGGCTGGGGACAGTGTTCAGTGGTGGCTGTGGGATTTTGCACGGGGGGACACGGGGGACACGCGGGACACGCTCCAGCCTGGCCCCGGGGCTGCTCTGGGGACCCAGGGGTGGGGACAGTGACAGGGGATGGCTGCACGGCTGTGGGACCCCAGGGGTGGGGACAGTGTTCAGTGGTGGCTGTGGGATTTTGGGGTCCCCAGGGGTGGGGGACAGTGTTCAGTGGTGGCTGTAGGATTTTGGGGTCCCAGGGGTGGGGGACAGTGTTCAGTGGTGGCTGTAGGATTTTGGGGTCCCCAGGGGTGGGGGACCAGCTCAGTGGTGGCTGCAGAGTTCTTGGTGCAGCTGTAGAGGACTCCAAGGAGCTGCTGGGGTCAGGCAACTGTAAGGATACAATTTATGGAAATCATTTTAGATGTTCAGAGATGGGAAGAGTTTCCTTAATTAATGAAATTCCCAACTAAAACCGCATCCAGTGCAGTGGCTGTGTGGGAGTGCAGCGCTTGGGGGAACTGTGGGAGTCTTTGCAAAGTCAATAATTTCTGCCCAGAGTCTTTGCAAAGTTAATTTTCCAGATTCTTACTGTCACTGTGTGGATTTCCACAAGCGACTTCCCCAGAGGTTTTTTTTATTGTTTCCACAAGTGACTTCCACAAGAAACTTCCCCAGAGTATTTTTCTTTTAGTTTCCACAAATACCTTCCACAAGTACCTTCCCTAGAGTTTGTTTTGGGGTTTTTTTGGTTCGTTTTTCTTTTTTTGTTGGGTGTTTTTTTTTGTTGAGGGGGTTTTTTTGTTGAGGTTTTTTTTTTTGTTGGGGGGTTCTTTTGTTGGGGTTTTTTTTTTTGGTTGGTTTTTTTTTTTTGTTGGGGGTTTTTTGGTTTGTTTTGGGGTTTTTTTTGGGTTGGTTTTTCTTTTTTTGTTGGGTTTTTTTGTTGTTGGTTTTTTGGGTTTTTTTTTTTTGGTTGGTTTTTTTTTGTTGTTGTTGTTGTTGGGGGTTTTTTTGTTGGGTGTTTTTTTTTGTTGAGGGTGTTTTTTTGTTGAGGTTTTTTTTTTTGTTGGGGGGTTTTTTTGTTGGGGTTTTTTTTTTTGTTTTGTTTTTTTTTGTTGTTGTTGTTGTTGGGGGTTTTTTTGTTGGGTGTTTTTTTTGTTGAGGGTGTTTTTTTTGTTGAGGTTTTTTTTTTTTGTTGGGGTTTTTTTTGTTGGGGTTTTTTTGTTTGTTTTTTGGTTTTTTTTGTTTGGGGTTTTTTATTTTGTTTTTATTTGTTGGGTGTTTTTTGTTTTGTTTTGGGTTTTTGGGTGGTTTTTTTTTGTTTTTTCTTTAATTTTTATTTCCACAATTCACTTCCCTGGAGTTTTTTTTTAATTGTTATTTCTGCAAGTAACTTCCCCAGAGTTGGGCTTTTCCTTGCAGGAACAACCAAAAAACCTGTTCTGACCTAACACATCTAAATGCCAAATCCCTGAAGTGAGGCTGTGGGCAGAGCTCTACATTTTTATTTTTGAAATTCATTTTTTTGGGCTTATGTTTTCCACAAGCTGCCGCTGGGAAGCTGAAAACCTCAGAGACATTTTCATCCCCCAGCAGCCAGGGACTGGCAGAGTCAGGACAGATAAAACCAGGAGCTTGGAGCAGCTGGGGCTGTGGAACTGCTGCAGGCTCTGTGCTGTGCCTGCAGTGGTCCCCAGCTCAGGAACTGGCTGGGATTGCTGGGGAGGCTGCAGGGAGCCAGCTTTGCTGGGTGAACATTTCAGCCTGGCTTTCCCTGCTGGGCTCTGCCCCGTGCAGTCCAGGGCTGTGCTGCTCTGGGGTGGCTTTGCCTCTCCCCACCTTCCCCAGCTCAGGAATGTGGCTGGGATTGCTGGGGAGGCTGCAGGGAGCCAGCTTTGCTGGGTGAGCATTTCAGCCTGGTTTTCCCTGCTCTGAGAGCCTCAGGCTGTCCACTGGGAGCCATTTCTCCTCTCTCTGCCATCACTTTTGGGCTGCTGTGCTTTAATGAACCATCAGAATTCCTGGGGATCCCTGGGAATAAGGAGCTGCCTCATCCCCTGTTTGTCAGAGGCAGCAGCCTCTGAGAAGCACCAAATTCCACATGGAAAACCCCAGGAGAGGGGGAGATGGGCTCGTTCTGGTGATGGTGGCTCTGAAAATGCCCAGGTTTCCTGCTCAGCACAGAAAACAGGGCCATGGTGCAGCTGTCCTGAGGAGTTTCCCTTTGGAGACCAGCTTGTGCATCTTCTGTTATGTTCATGTTCCACTTTTTCTGTGAAGTGGTTGCTTTAAATAAGAGAAATTTAAATAAGAGAAATAAAAATTAGAGAAATCACGGAAAAAAATCTCTTATCAATTGAATTCCCTCCCCCAGTGTTGTTAATTTTTAACTTCCCCTCTGCTGAGGGGTGTGCTGTGTTGTCACAAGGTCCTGGATCTGAGTGCATCCACCTCCCTGGCCATCCCCCCATTTTCCTTTCCAAAGGAAACAAAACTTATGCAGCTCTTCCATCTGTCTGGGAAGTGTAATTTGGAACCTGTCAGTAAATCTTACAGAGGGATCAGAACCAAGGTGTTAAATTGCTGAGTGAGGAAGGAGTGATCTTCCCAGGGAAGGAAAAGCTGTGGTTTATTTTGCTGCCCGAGCAGGAGAATGTGCCATGGGGTAGGAAGGAATTTTATGGCAAGAGCTGCAGTGAGGAGGGGCAGGATTTGGATTTATGAAAGGGAAAAATGAGAGGAGAGCAGGTTCCATGGAGCAGCTGTTGCATTTAAATGGCCACAAGTGCCAGTGTCTGCACATTTTTATGTACCTTGTGCAGGCCACTTGTCAATTAGCTTGAGATCCCTCCCAGCCCGAGGAAACAGAGTTTGGATGGGAAATAACTCCTGCTTTTGTCTCTGGAAGGTGTTCAAGCCCTACCAGGCCTCCCAGCACGACATGTGCCGCTTCCACTCCGAGGATTACATCGACTTCCTGCAGAGGGTGAGCCCCAACAACATGCAGGGCTTCACCAAGAGCCTCAACGCCTTCAACGTGGGCGACGACTGGTGAGTGCCCGGGCTGCCCTGCCCTGCCCAGGCCCTTCTGGAATCCTGGAATGTGCCATTCCTGCCCTGGTTTAGGCAGCATGAGGAGCGTGTCCCTCCTGTGCTGTCTGGGTTTGCAAAGCCAGGTGTCTGCTGAGGAAGGCAGGAGCCTCCCCTGAATAGAAATACAACCCCCCACCTTACGAATTATTGTAATTTTGAAATTAAGGGGCTCTCAGGCAGACATGGGAATAAGAATAACAGTTCTTTACTAGGAAAATTTAAAATATAAATGCAATAGTACAAACAGAAAACAAATCACTGCCAGAGTCAGAGCAACAGACCCCCATTTCCAGCCTAAGACATGTGTGGATAAGGGTGTGGAGCCTCCTTTATTCCTTTCCCTTCATGGGGATGTGCAGTGCTCCTTTTTGGGTCTAGATTTGGGCTTGCTGGGTTGCAGACTCTGCTTGGTCTGGAAGAGCTTTCAGCTCTTCTGGAAAGTGGCATCTTTTGTAAGAATTTGGGTGCTGCGTTCAGCTCTGGGGGACAAAGAACTTTAACCTGGTGGAGCAAATCCAGAGGAGGCACCAGGATGAGCAGAAGGAGGCAGCAGCTCTGCTGGGAGAGCTGGGATTGTTCAGCCTGGAGAAGGGAAAGGGTGACCTCACTGTGGCCTTACAGTACCTGAAGGAGCTGACAAGAGAGCTGGAGAGGGACTGGGGACAAGGCATGGAGGGGCAGGACACAGGGAATGGCTCCCACTGCCAGAGGGCAGGGATGGATGGGATCTTGGGAATGAGGAATTGTTCTCTGGCAGGGTGGGCAGGCCCTGGCACAGGGTGCCCAGAGCAGCTGTGGCTGCCCCTGGATCCCTGGCAGTGCCCAAGGCCAGGCTGGACAGGGCTTGGGACAGTGGGAGGTGTCCCTGCCATGGCAGGGAGTGGAACAGGATGAAATTGAAGTTCCCGTCCAACCCAAATCATTCTGGGATTGGGGGCTATCACAGTCCCTCCTCTCTCCTGAGGCAGTGTCCCAGGTGTGGGCAGGAGACTCTGACAGGTTTTGGGAGCAATGAAGCCTTCTCAAGGCTGGTTTGGAAGCTTTGGGAATCATTCTCAAATTCCCTGTGTTTACAGGCAGCTCGCTCCCCTGCTGGGGCTCAGTGAGTTACAGGCATGGTCAGAGTGATCCTGAGCCCAAATTAACTCTTTCAGAGGGGACTGAGCTTTATTCTTGCTCAGATGTTACCCCTGGCCAGTCTGATTCCTGGCTCTGCACAAAGGGGAGGAGTGAGGAGTTCTGAGTTGGAATGTGGTTTCTTTTTCAGCCCAGTGTTTCCAGGCCTCTTTGAATTTTGCTCTCGTTACACTGGGGCCTCTCTGCAGGGAGCAACACAGCTGAACAACAAGGTAAGGGGCTGAAGTGCTGATCTTGGGAGCCCAGCTGGAGCTTTGGAGGAGGAAGAGCCAGGAGGGTGCTGTGGACCCCTGGGATGGGCAGGTGGAAGTGGGAAGGAGGGAACAGGGTTGTTGTCACCATCTTGTCACTTTAAATTCACTTCTCTTTCCTCTCTTAGATCTGTGACATTGCCATAAACTGGGCAGGGGGCCTCCACCATGCCAAAAAGTTTGAGGTAATGACATCTGTGGATTTAATTTGTCTTTGGGGCCTGGGCTCTGTTGATCTCATCCTCAAGCTCTTGGGGTTTCTCTCTCTTCCAGGCTTCAGGCTTCTGTTATGTCAATGACATCGTGATTGGCATCCTGGAGCTGCTCAAGTAAGGACAGGGCCAAGGGCTCAACTCTGCTGGCTGCTTTGTGCTTTCCCTCTGCTTTTTCTCTCTTTCCCTGCCTCATTTGCCTTTCTGGAATCCAGGAAGCCCAAAAACTTCATTTTTGTCCTGGCCTTACCTTTAAGACACAAGAAAGGGTTTGAGCATTGCAACATCTCACTCCAGTTTTGTTGGAGTCAGATGTTTTGTTATCCCTCAGGGAGCTTGAGGGATACAGAAGAGTTCTTCAATCCCATTTCAGGGGTTCCTGAGTCTCAACTTTTTTGCCACAGTGAGCCTTTCATAGGTAAATGTAAGTTCTGGTTCACTGGAGACACAAAAATGACTCAAATCTTTCTGGAGTTGTTTGAGCACCTTAAGAACAGGATTTGGGCTGCACATGGGTGATCAAAGGACACTTGGTCTCCATAGAAAAAATTCAGGTTATTTTTCACTTTAGGAAATTAAAAATCAATTCCGAGTGAGAGGAAAAGTTACAGAAATACCTTTAGTTTCTTGAATTGATCTGAGATTTCTTTTTAATTTTTTTTTTTTGGTACTTCAAAGTGCCCTCCTTGTCACTGAACCTGAGACAAACTGTCATGGAATTAAAAAGGATTTGGAGTTGATCAAACAATAGTTACATGACTGCTGGCAAGTTTACTTGCTCTCAAAGTCAGATTTATGGGATGTACTGGCATTTCTTGTTCCCCCTTCCCTGCTCTGTTTGGAACCCCAGGATCTCCCTGGCAATCCCTGCACTCGCTTTTCCTACTCCCATCCACCAGAGGCTCAAATACAGCCCAGTTACCCCCATGGGATGTTATTTCTGTCCCTATCCTGTTGCTTGTTTCCAGGAACATTTCTGCAGCAGGTGACTGCATTTTGAGTTTGCTTCTGTCTCTGTGTCTCTGGCTGCTTCTCCAGTAAATTTAGCCCAGCCTGGAATTTTTGGTGCTCACCAGCTGGGACACAGTGCTCCATTTCCCACCTCCTCCATGCCAGCTTGCCTTTCATTTCCTGATATGATTAAAATCACTGGAGCTGTTAAAGATTAACTATGAGCACACTGGAAACAAGAATCTGCAACATATGAACACCCAGCTGCTTAAACAACTTATTTTCCAAGATACTTCTGGCCCCATCTAAAAATCTTTTTGCTCTAATTTCCATTTCTAAATACCTCAGAAGAAAATGTTTTAAATGCCAATTTCCAAGCAGATCAAAGGAAGCTGTTTGGGTGGGTACAAATGCCTGGAATGCCAGCTTTGGTGTGTCCCACAGGTATCACCCCCGGGTGCTGTACATCGACATCGATATCCATCACGGGGATGGGGTGCAGGAGGCTTTCTACCTGACAGATCGTGTCATGACAGTGTCATTTCACAAATATGGCAACTACTTCTTTCCTGGCACAGGTAAGTTTTTCATTTCTAGTGGGAATCTGCTTCAGAATCCCTTGGAAGCTCTGCTGGAGTAGAAGAGAGTAAATCACAAAATTCAAGCTGCCGGGGGGAAATGGTGGGAGAAGGTGATTAGAGAGGAACAGAACTGTAGCTGCTTGTAAGAGAGGGGTCCTGATTAGGTGGACAGACTCAGCCCAGCTCAGCCCTGGCCTTTGCACAGCTCTGAAGCCTCAGGCTGTTGTGCCTGTCCTGTTTTGCAGGTGACATGTATGAGGTTGGTGCAGAGAGTGGCCGTTACTATTGTCTCAACGTGCCTCTGCGAGATGGCATCGATGACCAAAGTAGGTGTTACTCCCTTTCCCCTTGGCCCCAGGGGTTTCCTGGTCCTTCTGCTCCAGAGCCATGACAAATCCACCTCTCTCTCCAAAGGTTATAAGCACCTCTTCCAGCCAGTCATTAACCAGGTGGTAGATTACTATCAGCCCACCTGCATAGTCCTGCAGGTAAGGAAGCAAACCTCTGTGCACACATCCATGCCTTCAGAGGGCTCTGTCTGTGTTACCTTCTGTCCCCTGGTGTGGATCTGGAGAGCAGTGCCAAAACTCCCTTGTTTTTCTGTTCCCCAGTGTGGAGCTGATTCTCTGGGTTGTGACCGGCTGGGATGTTTTAACCTCAGTATAAGAGGCCATGGGTAAGTACAGCAGGGTTGGGCACAGAAAAACCACATGAAGGGCTCTGAGGAATCTCTGCTGTGAGGTTGGGCTTTGGCTTGCTAGCAGCTGTTGAGGTTTTTTTAACATTTGTGTCACTAGAGGGGGTCTGAGAGTGAGGCTTTGTACGAGATGCTGGGGGGGTGGTTAGTGAAGGAGGAGGAGGAGGCCATGGAGATGGTCCTAAGGACTGGAACCAGGCTGGGAGTGCTCACCTGCAGAGGAGAAGCCTCCAGGGAGAGCTCAGAGCCCCTGCCAGGGTCTAAAGGGGCTCCAGGAGAACTGGAGAGGAGCAAGGGATGGAGGGACAGCACATAGGGAATGGCTCCCACTGCCGGAGGGCAGGGATGGATGGGATATTGGGAATTAGGAATTGTTGCCTGTGAGGGTGGGCAGGCCCTGGCACAGGGTGCCCAGAGCAGCTGTGGCTGCTTCTGGATCCCTGGCAGTGCCCAAGACCAGGCTGGATGGGGCTTGGAGCAGCCTGGGACAGTGGGAGGTGTCCCTGCCATGGCAGGGTTGCAATGAAGCCTTAAGGTCCTTCCCAACGCACCCCCAGTGCTGGAGATTCCTGGGTGGAAGCTCCAGGTGTATCACACCAGCCATGGTGCTGTTGGAGTTCAGGAGGGCACTTCTGACACGTGAACCTGTGCTGCAGTTTCCAGCTCTGGCATTTTCCTCTTTGGGGTTTGTAGGGAGTGTGTGGAGTACGTGAAGAGCTTCAACATCCCCTTGCTGGTGCTGGGAGGAGGAGGTTACACGGTCAGGAACGTGGCACGCTGCTGGTGAGTGCTCTGCCTGCTGAGGGGCACTGCTGGGGCTCTTCTGTGGGATTTGTCCCTGCATTTCCCATGTCCCTTTCAATGAACTGAGCTCTTTCCCCATGTTTGGAAAAACAACATCTGGGTTGTGTCAGTGTTTCCTGCTTGGGTGGCAATAATTGAATTCACTCTGCTCTGATAAGTGACTTTTTGCACAAATCTGTTGCTCTTGGGCAGCACAGAGGTGCTGCAGGCAGGTGACAGAGCTGTGACACATCCCACTGTGCTGATCCCTGTGTGTTCTGTCCCTGTAGTACCTGGATCAGATCAGGCAGACCATATTTGAGAACCTGAAGATGCTGAACCACGCTCCCAGCGTGCAGATCCACGACGTCCCCTCGGACCTGCTCAGCTACGACCGCACGGACGAGCCCGATCCAGAGGAGAGGGGCTCCGAGGAAAACTACAGCAGGTACCAGAGCCAGTGGGCTTCCCTTGCTACCCCGGGGAGGGGGTACAGAGGAATCCATCTGAGTCCTAGAACAAGTCATGGAATCCTGGAATTTGGGCTTGGAAGGGACCTTAAAGCCCATCTCATTCTCGTGGGCGGGGAAGTCACTTGTGAGTCTCTTGTTTTTACCCAAGGAGCTTCTGTGGTCTCCTACTATGACATTCCCTCAGGCCCCAGGGGTTCCAGGTCTCTGTCCCCTCCCTGACAGGGATTTCTGTTCCCCCAGGCCTGAAGCTCCCAACGAGTTCTACGACGGTGACCACGACAATGACAAAGAGAGCGACGTGGAGATCTGAGGGCTCTGGGCTGCGGGGCCTCCCGCCTGGGACATGGATGCTTGGAGCACATAGCTGGGCCCTGCAGGAGCCAGTTCAGCCCTCTCTCCAACTTAGACTATGTGTGGTGGCAGCAGAGACAGCCCCACTGCAGGCTCCTGCCACCTGGAGAGGCACAGAGGTGACGCGTGCTCCTTACTTGTCACCACGTCACGGTTGCGGCTGTCACCGCTGTGGGAATGGAGCCGTGCTGAGTCCTGGCTGGCAGCTGTGGGACTGCCCTCGGAGCCTGAGCCACGCTCCATGCTTCCCATGCAGGCTCCTGCAGCCAGCTGGGAGCTGGAGCAGCTGTGCCTACAGCCCTTGCCTCTGCAGCACTTGGGATCCATCCTGCTGTCCCTGACCTCCCCTCAGGTACCGCCCCGCTGTCCCCTGCAGCCTGCCTGGGAGCTGCTCCTGATGTCCCTTCTAAGAAGCTGATGCTCCACAGCTCCAGGAATTATTGGATAAGACCAGGCCAGTTGTGGGGTAGGGGTCAGGATGTCCTTGGAGCAGCTCAGTGGGGTGGATGGAAGGATGTGTGCAGAGCATAGGCTCATTGCTTCCCCCCACACCCAGATCTGCATTCACAAACGAGTTCTGCAGCACTTTGCTGAGTTGGACACAACCTCCCTGTTGTGTTTACTCCTTGGGAAGTTTAAGTCCCTGTGGAACAGAGGTTTGCCTGCCCAGGTCAGTACTTAGTGTGTCCTGAACCTTTAGTGTAGCTTCCAGCTGTGTTTCCCAAGTTCACACATGTTCAGCAAGAGATCTGGGCTGTTGGCTCTGAGAGGAAACAGTTCCTGGGCTGTACCCTGCAGATGTTGCTCTGCTGCTGGGTGAGGGAAGCTGCTTCCTACGAGTGCTCTGTTCCTGCCCTCACCCAGCAGAGCTTTCCCTTGGCCATCCCTCCCATCCCAGATGTTGCTGCTCCTCCTCGCGAGCCCTCAGCGGTACCTGTGTGGTCTGGAACGTGCTGTGTGGGGAGGTGGGGGGGTCAGCCTCTGTCTGTATGGTTCTGTTTGTTTACTGATGTCTTTGGACATTAAAGAAGAGGCAGTATTTTTCTTACCTGACCTGTTGTTTGTCTGTTTCATCCCCACACCTTTCTGGCTCCTGTTCTCCCGAGGGCCAGGCCCTGGCAGGGCAGTGTTATCCACTGTGTGAAGGAATGGAGGGAATGCTGCTGCTCAGAGTCAATGTTGGTGAGTTTTTGGCATCACTGCACATGAGGGGAGCACCCTAAACTCCCTTTCAAGAGGCCAGGTGGGGTGGACACTCCTATTAATGCCTCTCAGTCCAGCAAAAGCTTTGCATGAAGCTGCAGAGCCAATCTGGGAGATTTTTCCTGCAGTTATTTAAAATGCCATGACTTCTGAGAGTTGCAGTGTCCATAACAGCCTCTGCACTTTGCACTCTCACTGTCCCAAGGCCTTTTTGGGGACTGTGTTGTAGTTCTGGTCACTACAACATGGAGCAGGCAGTAAGTCAGGGTTACTCCCTGTGGGTGTCCAGAGAAATCCCTCAGAAATAAATTGTGATTGTATTAGACTGGAGATAGAGAAGGATGATCAAAGGTCTAACACAGCTCCTGTGTGAGGAGGGGTCTGGTGGATCAGGATCCTTCAGCTGAGGAGGGAGAACTGAGCAGGGAGAGGATATGTCACAGGGGAAGTTGAAACAACCATGAGTGGGTTTCTCCAAGTACCAGACTACAGCAGCAGGGACTTCACCAGGGCCTGGAGTGCCAGAGGGCAGGGCTGGATGGGATATTGGCAGGAATTGTTCCCTGGGAGGCTGGGCAGGCCCTGGCACAGGGTGCTCAGAGCAGCAGGGGCTGCCCCAACCCTGGAAATATCCCTGGTGGGAGGATATTTGCTCCTGAAAGGGCTGAATTCTCTGCTCCAGTGCTGAGGCTCCCTGTGCAGAGCTGTGCTCGGACACCAGGTGGCACCTGGATCACTGGAATTCTATGGAGGCTCCATGGCCCTGCTGCAGGCCCTGTGTGCAGACACTGCAGCCCCACAGTGGGGTTTGGGGTGGGAGCAGAGTCCTGGCTGTGTTCTCAGGGACGTCTGGGGGTTCTGGGCACTGTCAGGCCTGGCACCAGGGCACAGGGGCAGGGGTTGCTCCTGCTGCAGCTCTGTGACTTTCCTGTGTGAGCTTCCACACCATGCCCAGCACATCCCTTGGCACCAGGGATGTGGCCAGGCTGGCACTGCCCTTCCTGCACAGAATCTCCTAGAGCTTCCCTCCTGGGGAGAAATGAATAGTCTGCCTTAATTTCCCATAAAGAATCACAGAAAATATTTTTTCTGCTTTACCTGACTCTGTCCTGGCTGTGTTGATCCCATAGCCCCAAAACACAGCAACCCCAAGTTCATGAACTCACTGCAGCATCTCCTGGAGCTCAGGTTGTTCCACAAGTGTGGGGTGTGGCACAGGCTTTGTGCACCCCAGTGCCTGGGTAGGAAATTGGGATAAGAACATCCCTGTTATTTTGGATGCTCTGGGAAGTGTTTGTAGCTTCCCTGGTTCCCACCTGTGCTCGTCAGAGCCTGGAGGGAACTTCCCACCTCCCAAACTTTCTGTAGCACAGCTGAGAGGTTTAGCTGCTGTTTACCCCTCACACCAGTGCCTGCTTTCCCTGTGGAAGGCACCCAGCACCCACAGGAGCTGATTTTGGGATGTGCTGCCCAGCCAGGTCTGGCTCTCACTCCCCAAACCCTGTTCCTCCCCTCCCTCATGCCAGGAGGCCCAGGGAATCAGGAGCATTCCCTGCTGCCCCTCCAGGCCCTGCCACAGCCCAGGCTGCTTTCCCACTCCCAGGGTAAGGTGCAGCACAGCCATGGGGGTGTCACCTCTGATCTTTTAGGGACTGAGAGTTTGGGGATAGAAAATGCTTTAAATCTTCTCCTTCCCTCTGTGCTGAGCAAAGAGGGACCTTGGCAGCCCCTGACCCACCTGAATGCCCTGGTTATTTTCTGTTAACCACATTTCCTAGGTGGAGATGCCCGTGGCACTGGGGAGTGTGGATTTGATTCCCCCTGGGGCAGAATTAACCTGCAGGCAGGAAAAGCAGAGGTGTTTCCTGCAGGTCTGTGCTGCTGGCAGGTGTGTGGGACAGGTCAGTGACAACTGAGCTGCTGCAGCAGAGCAGGGGGCTTGGCTGGGGGTGCCAGGCACTGCAGAGCCCATCAGGGGCAGCTTTGTGGCCTGGCTGTCACCAGGAGCAGAGTGTGCTCCTGTGGTTTCCCTGTGTGAGCTTCTGGCCTAACAAATCCTCTGCCACCCCTCCCAGTGCTGCCATCTCAGTTTAAATCCCCCACCCCAGGTCCTGTCACCACAGGCTCTGGTTCAAAGTCTCTCTCCACCTTCCCTCTAAGCTCCATCAGTGTTGGGGCTGCCCAAATCTCCCTTCCCAGCAGAGCATTCATTAATTATCTCAGCATTACCCCACCACCCTCACTGTGCATTTCCTGTCCAGTCTAAACCTCCTTCTCCCAGTGTAAACCCTTCTTCCTCCTCCTGCCATGGCAGGCCCTGATAAAAAGTTTCTCTCCACTTCTCTTATCAGCCCCTTTCAATGTGGGAAGCCCCAGATAAGGTGTCCCCACACAGCCCCCCAGTCTGATGTCACATTAATCACTGCAGGTCCCAGTATGGACCAGTCCATAAGTTAGACCAGGCCAGCCCAAAAGTCAGGGATTGCTCAGGGCATTTTGCAGTCAAGTTGGAGGCCCTGCAAGGCCAGACATTGTCCAAGCTCCTCTCTCAGCATAAATTTAAAAAAAAAATTAACTTTTTTTTTTAGTTGGTAGAATTTGCTATGTTTTTGAAGGATTTTTTTTGTAGTGTTATTATTAGAGATTATTTTTGGAGAATGAGGAAATTAGATTAATTTTTTGTTTGTGTTTTGTAAAGATTTTTTTTTTAGGTTTTGAGGTATTTATTTTTTCTTGTGTAAGGAATTGGTAGTTGTTTTTGTTGCTGTATATTATTAGAACTGGAAGGTGTAATAACAGAAGTGGTTAGAGGTGGTGTTTTAGTAGGAGCTTGAATGTTTTGTTGGTTTGAACGTGGTGTTGGTGGAAGCATGTAGGTATTGTTTATGGAAGTATTTAGGGTGTTATTTTGTTGTGTGGAAGGTGTTTGAGATGGTATTTTGTGTTTAGATTTAAATGTTTATTATTTTTTATTTCTATTATAAGTTGTGAGTTGCTGGTTTCCATTTGGACCTGGGGATGTTGTCTGGATGAACTCCTTGGCTGCAGCCCCCCAGGAATTCCTTACTCACCTTCCATAACCTAGAACATTTCTGCAAGTCAGTGACTCTTAGGTCCAGGAGGTCAGATCCAGGGTGAATTTAGCTCCTGACACGTGGATTTGGAGATGCTCTTAAAGGGCAGTGGGACTTCACTCACCCAAGCTGGGGCTCAGGGCCCTGAGCACCTCATGTGGACCCAAATCCAAGTTTCTCTTGAGCCTGAAGCTTTGGGGTTTCCTGGCAGTGCTGGGGAGCAGCCCCCAAATTCCTGTTCCCGTTCCAGCATCCCTGTGCACTCTTCCCATGCCCTCAGATTCCCAGGACACTCTGGGACCCCTTCCCCTTGCTCCCAGATACCTGGCTGCAGGCATCAGGGTCTTCTCCAGCCAAAGCCTCCCTCCCCTTCCTTGTCCATGCCAGTGTCCCCAGCTCTGTCCCCTCAGAGGCCTTGGGGATTCTGCAGCTGTGCCTCCCCTCTCCATCTCTTCCTGATGTCCAACATTGGCTGAGAAGTGGCAGCAAACAGGGGCAGAAACTTCTCTCTCCCTCTGGAGTATTCTCAGGAAAAATGGAGAAATCGGTCCACAAACCAGGAGCTGGTAAATCCAAGGTTTCTGCTGTGGAGAATGAGCAGGGGGAGCTCACCAGGGTCCTTCCAGCATCACAGGATGACTTTGGTTCAAAGGGTCCTCTGGAGGGCTCAGGCCCATTCCTCCTGCCCCAGGTAAGGCCAGTCCAAAGGGATTTGGGATTGTTCAGGGTGTTTTCCAGCCAGGTCGGAATCCCTGCAAGGCCAGACATTGTCCCAGATCCTCTCTCAGCATAACTGAGCTCCCTTCTCTGCTATTTAACCACCCTTGTGAAAATATTCTCTTTAAACAAACCCTGATTTACCTGATGGGAGCTGGTGGCTCTCATCCCTTCACCTCCTCCCTGGAGTTTCCCCTGTTGGGGAGCACACACTGCCAGCACCAGGGTGCTCTGCCAGGGCTCTGGGGCAGCACTGTGGGAAGTTGTGGAAGAGGTTTCACAGCGACTTCTGTGGGCCAGAGAGAAGTTGGATAAGAGGATCCATGCTCACCCCTGAAAGAATTTCCTACCAAGGTTGTTGACACAGAAACCAAGAAAGAAGGAGAAAGAAGAGAAACCTGCAACTGCAAAGTTCCCATGAGCACTTTGTCTGTCTCTTGTGACCAATGAGTAAAGTGTAAACTTATGAGGTTTGTAAGAATAAAAATCATGCAGGCTATAATAAAAACAGGTCTGAAGCCTTCTGAAAATGGAGTGTGTTTCTTTGTATTGTCTCCGTCTCAACCACAACAGGAGATGAATTTTCCCTTGCTTTCTGGAGCCTGTTTGGAGAACCTTCTCCCTGGACTTTGTGGTGAGAGTGATTTCTGCAGGGTGTGTGGGTACTGCTCCCTGTGAGCCCTGGCAGAGGGGTTTGAGGCTGTCCCTGCAGTTCCTGGAAACTGCAATCGTTCCAATCTCACACACACAGTCTGTAAGCACAGGTAGGCTTCTCTGGGACGTGTTTGTACCTTCCCTGACTCCCAGCTCTGCTTATCAGAGCCTGCAGGGAGCTGCCTGTGGATGGGCTCAGCAGCTGCTCTGCAGGCCCAAGGACTGAGTGAGCACAGGAAGAAACTGATGAAATGGGAGTTTAGCCATAGCAAGGGAGAAAGCCAGGCCATGAGCATGGAGAACAACAAAATAGACACAAAAGGGATATTTGCAGTGAGAGGATACCAGCCTTAGTGAGCAGGTGTATGTCCTTAATAATGTGTTAAAAACTCTTGCCAATTAATT